AGAGAAAGAGAGAGATTGAAAGAAATGTCAAGGCCCAGATCAAAAGCAGTCAGGTTTCCATTTTGGGGGATCCAGGTCTCGGGTGATTCTGGGTTAAGGTTTGATGCTGCTTCATCCCCTGAGTTTTACAGTGGAGCCAGTCAGCACTGTCTCCCACTCATAATACCCTCTTTGCATTGTCAAGGCTTGTGCTAGAGTTTAATCAGTTCTCGCAACAGGGTAACAAGGAAAATCCATAGGCTTGGCTCCTTGAGAACTGACAAAATCATTTGTCAAATTCTTCTGCACTGATTGCACAGAAGTTCTGCAAGAGAGAAGTCTGTGCAGGAAAGGTTCTGAGAATGCAAACCTTGAAAATCAGTGATATGGGAGTTACTACTTAATTTTCTTCCATGGGAGTTTTGAAAAAGCTGTTAGAAGTTTAGAGAGGTATCTGTATAGAGGGTAAGCATTAAAAAGTGGGAGGAAGTAATGAGAAAACACACAATTTAGACCCCCTGTAAAATTCCGTGAATGGGAGGATGCAATTGTGCAGGAAAAGCCTCACTTCTTGTTCTCATTTGAAAGCCACCTTTTGAGTGGTGGAAGCAGGTCCCACACCTTACAGTCTTCTCAGAGAGAATCACCCAGTTCGGCGGAGGAGATGGAAGGGCAGAGCTGGGCAGACAACAAGGTGGCCAAGTGGAGATCCTCGGGCAGAGCATGAGAACCACCCTCTCTTGGAAAAAGAGGGAGGCCTTCCAGAACTGTTGGGGGAGCAGATGGGGAGGGGGTGTTCTTTGACCCTGTCAGGAGGCAACAGAGGTGAAATGAGCAACCCAGTTAGGAAGTGTCTGGCATCCCCACCGTGTAGCAGCAGCAACTGCCCTGAAGGTGGAGCCATAAGCTTTTCTGAATGGGGAGGAAGGAAATTTTGGTTTGGATTCAACTCTTTGGATGGACAGGCACTTCAAGGAGAATGCTACTTTGATTGATAGTGTTTTGTAACATGTTAAACTTTAACAAAAAGGCTGTGTTTAAAGTTTCATCTGTGTCTGCTGGAGGAGAAGAGAAGGCAGGAGAGATTCTCTTGTAATAGTGAGAGACCAAGAGGCAGTGGTGTAATGGAGCTCAGGCTCACAGGGCTGTTGCACTGGCCACTTTTATTAGCAGGGAAGCTGAGGTCATCTGCCATCCTCATCAGAATCCCCTGTTTGCGCTGAGGTTACCAGCAATCCTTCACAGTGACTGTGAGGGAAAGCATTTTCCCAGCAACAAGATACTGTTGAAATGCAAAGAAGGTGTTGGTGGCGTGGTCCTGAACAGGCAGCTGAGACCTATCAGCTTTGCAAAGGATCTGTTCCTGGTGAAGATGAGAACTGCTAGAACAGTTTTGTTGATGTGGATGTTTGGACTCTGGATTGAGAAGTGGTGATGGTGAACACTCAGAATTTACCGCTACATAACTGCAGATAAGTAGAGTTGCTCTATCCGCAGTATACAGCTTTCCACTCATTGCTTTCCACTCAAACAGCTGTTTCATTTGGAAACAGGAAGTAAGGGATCTGTGAGGAATCAGAGAGGGGCCAAAAATCCAATGGATTTTCTGGATTCATCCTTGCATACATATTTCATTTCATCAGCCTGTGCTGGTACCAGCTCAAGTTAAGCCAACATATAGACTTCCTTTTTAAAATTAAAGTCAGGGAAAATTATGTAAAATGTGGGCCTCCATGCACAAATTTGGACTATTTGTACGCACTTGCACACTCTGTGGAGCAGGTGCCTCAAGTAAGCACAAATGTGAGATTAATTTAAGGTGGCCAAGATAAAGTGTGTGGATATGCAGTGAGAGGAGGATGCTCCCTTACGTCTCATGTTAAATGCTACAACAAGAAGAAAAGGAACAAGTCAGATCTAATCAATCATTCCCAATTCATGCAAATGATGACTTATGCAAATTGTACTAGAGAAGCACGGTTGTTGTTAGTTGTGAAGTTGTGTCCGACCCATTGCGACCCCAATGGACAACATTCCTCCAGGCCTTCCTGTCCTCCATCATCCTCTGAAGTGCACTTAAGCTCACACCCACTGCCCCAGTGACTCCATCTATCCACCTCATTCTTTGCCATCCCCTTCTTCTTTTTCCGTCAATTGTTCCCAGCATTAGGCTCTTCTCCAATGAGTTGTTCCTTCTCATTAGGTGGCCAAAGTATTTGAGTTTCATCTTCAGTATCTGGCCTTCTAAAGAACAGTCAGGGTTGATCTCTTCTAAAACTGACTAGTTTGATCTCCTTGCAGTCCAAGGGACTCACAGGAGTCTCCTCCAACACCACAATTCAAAGGCCTCAATTCTTCGGTGCTCAGTCTTCCTAATATTTCAGCATTCACAGCCATACATTGCAACTGGGAAAACCATAGCCTTGACTATACACACTTTTGTTGGCAGGGTAATGTCTCTGCTTGTTAGTAGAGATGCACAGTGCTTGGCTCCAAATGTAGGCAAGCATTTTGGATATTTTCATGGAAGCTGACCCCACCCCAACTCAGCCTGCATTTAGCCATCAGGCTGTAAATATATCGAAATTCATTGAGTTGGAAAGGAAGAAGTTTTCTAGTGTTGCACATTCCAACAGGAAGTGCTGTGTGAGCTGCATCAAGACTGGGACTTGTTGGACTCAGAGACTCATGAGATTCCTTCAAAGTCTGTGATGCCGTATCAGCAGAGGCATGCTTCTTTTCTCTGACCGCCTTCCTCCTAAATAGCTTAGGGGGCTGAGTCAGCACTGTGCTGTTATGCATTCATCCATTTCCCACTGGAAGCTTTGCTCTGAATAGACTCATCTTTAGCACTGACATTTCGGCGCAGGCTGTTGTGACAGGGGAAGAATGCCAGCCAGATAGCATTGGACAAATGAGAACAGCTGGACAACCTGCTTGCCAGTTCTCTTTCACGCCTCTGCCGTTTGCGCATGGTGCCCTCCGCAGCAGTTATGCCAGGCCAAGAAACAGCTACAAACAGAAGCTGAGCTCTAGTTTCTTAACAGCATTTCTGTTTTGTTTGGGTTTGTTTTTAAATAGTGCTTCAAAATAGAGGGTTTTGCTTGGGAAGAATTTCTAGGTGCAGAGCCTGCTGATCGGTTGCACTGAAAACAACCAGCATCTGCAGGTGGCATCTGCAGGACAACTGGCCATGAAGCTTTGAGCTGTCCTATCAGTCCGTCCAGACCTGCCTGCACACAAGGTCTGGGTAGCACTTTTACACAGCAGTAGCACGAGTTGTCCCGCTGCCCACGGTAGGCAGATGGGCACTGCTATTCGTTTACTACCGTCACCACCACCACGCTTAGCACCACCTGTACATTCACAGGCAGTTCCCAAGCCACCTCACAGTACCTAGCTTTTTAAATTTATTTATTTCTTTAAAGTTTTTATATGCTGTCCCAGTACTAACAGTCTCTGGATGGATTACAAAAAACCAAAAATGAGGCAACCATATACAACACACAACATGATTTGATAATGATTTGTATTTTTGTATTTATTGGTAATTTATTATGTTCTATTGTATTTCAATGTATCTTATTGTGTTGTAAGCCGCCCCGAGGCTTCGGCAAGGGGCGGCATAGAAATGTAATAATAATAATAATAATAATAATAATAATAATAATAATAATAATAATCGATGATAAAAACAAGGAGAAAACCAATTAACTGTTAAAATATTGGGGAAATAAAAAGGTCTTTGCCCAGCACCAAAGAGAATAAAGCGTTGGCGCCAGGCGAACCTTCCCAGGGAGCATGTTCCAGTTGGGGTGCCACCGCTGAAAAGGCCCTTCTCTGAGTAGCTACCCTAGCTTTGAGGAAGGACTCATCCAGCTGCAGCGGTCAGGGCCTCGTGAGCAATCCCTTTCCCTGGAAGAGTGAAAGGACAGGTGGGTAGGCAGGCTCTCTGCAGAGGCCAGTCACCTAATCTCTTCCTTGCAGGAGTAAGAGATCTCGTGCATGGATTCAATGGAGAGGTTGTCCACCTTTCTGATCTTGCACATTGTGGACTCACCCAGGCAAGAGAAGGGGTGGCAGCTTTTCTGGAAAGCCCACGCACCTGATCGCTCTCTTTCTGGGAGAGTCTTTAGAGCAGAAGGTGGGGAGATGCTCCAAGGAACCTGCTGGCCTCTCTTCCACTATGGGCCGTGCCCACGGGGTCACTCCCAGTGCATGTGAGGGGTGTGTGCCCCACCACTCCTTCAGGACCACCCCCTGAGCAGAAGAGTCACCTTGCCTCATCGGAGGGCCAGCCCTGGTTTGGCACATACCTCTTGCTGCCTTTCACAATGCTCAGTTCTGAAAAACTTAAGAGGGGAATAAAAATTGATAGGTTTGATAGATACAAAAGAAAATATGTCAAATAGGAGTCATCAGTTCTGAGGTTATGGCTGCAGCTTCCTATTGATCAATGTATAGGGCTGAAGGATTTTCAGCTAGCAATTATCTCTCTGAATACTTTTCAACCTCTACTTCACAGAAGTAATCACATTTGGTCTTGGTGCTCCTTGGAGCTCTGTTTAACTTAAACCTTCCAATCAATATGGGAATGTTTTCTTGAATTATATGAAGAATAATATGATCCACTGCAAAACCAGCACAGGGCTATTGAGCCAGGTGCTTGCAACAACTCTTTGTTTTTATATTTATTTTCTTTGTGAGATTATTCATTTTTGCTCCATTATTTTATTTTTCTATATGAAATCTTTGCTCTAAATGCACGGCAATATGAAGCAGGGAGGACCATATCTAGAGGGGGGAAATAGAAAAGGTTACTGTTTGTATTGTGTTGGGAAATCCAAACATTCTAAGAAATTGTTAATAATCCCCATGAAAAAATTTGAGAAAAATTAAAATATTTGTGAAAAAAAATTCACTTTTATAGGTGACCAGGTTCTCAAACCAAAGAGGAAATCTCTGCACCAAACCAACAAATAGTGAATAACAGTAACAGTCCACTTGGTTTCTTGTTGCAGATCTGCGCAGAATGACGGCTGGTTTCATGGGCATGGCAGTAGCCATCATCCTCTTTGGATGGATTATTGGGGTGCTGGGGTGCTGCTGGGACCGAGGCCTTATGCAGTATGTGGCAGGACTTCTCTTCCTCATGGGAGGTAAGGAAAACCAGGTTGCAAAGAAATGTCATATTACGTCTTTTCTCAAATGTTTCCTGTCAATGTATCAGAGAAACTAGTCCACTTCTGCTCTTCCACAAGCAAATCAGCAGTGACCTATTTAAAATCTGATACCACAGATAGTTCATACATCCACACAGAACTTTTCCGAAGTGCTTATGGAATTTCACTTGCATTATCTCAGTAACCATTGCAATGTTGTCTCAGACAAGGGTGAGAAGACTGAGTTTGCAGAATGTGCTTTTTTAATAGAACCCCAACGGCAACCAACCTAGTTGGTATGTACAAAATATTTATGTGTGTGTTTATTTATTTAAAGTATTCCACCTCCAAGCCAAAAAACCTCCCAGAGTGGCTTACAAATAATCAGGTAAGCAACATGCTCATTGTCTGTGGGCCCACTCCAGGTTTTAAATCTCCCATTCCCTGCTTACAAAAAGGAAAATCATCTTTATTTTTAAAACAAAACTTGTTAGCATTTTAACTTGTAAGTAGGCAGTGTTCTGATTATTTTACATGTGCATATTTCTGACTGGTTTGTGAATCAAGGGAAGATGATGACACCATGGTACTTTTCTTCTAATTAACCTAAGTTCTTCAGCTAAATCTTTAAATCCACCAACTTGCAAACACTGGCAGAGTCTCAAGATCCTCATGGGAACTTGTTCACAGTACCAGGGAAGCCTTTGCACTACAGTATCACTTTTGCACAAGCTATTGAATGGAGTGCACTGTTGTTTCCACAAGCCCAGTGACTTGAACAAACGGTATCCTTTAAAATAAAGTCTGTGCTTAAACATCTAGCAGGCTAGCTGATCCGTCATACCAATTCCTCTCCTACAGCTTGCAGCCTTAATCAGCCAGCAATTCTTCTCAGCTTATTGTAATTTCCACTTATCTTCTGCAAATTGTCTTTGTGAGCACAAAAACAACAACAACCCTTACAGCTTTCTAAGCATTCACAAAAATTGATGGGGGAAAACTTGCTTGATACCTTTCATCATTCATCCCACTTCTTCCTAACCACATATATCTTGATTTTGAGACAAGATGCCAGTACAAAGGGCTCGCTGGTGACAGGTGGAGTCTCCTTCACAGAAAATACTTTCTGAGTATCTGTTGTCTTCTGGGGAATATGAGATTTGTAGTTCCTTGTGTCTTCTGAATTGGATTATGAATAGAGAGCCTACGTGCCTGTGGATGAATGAATGAAGTTATTTTCCTGCAATTTCCAAATTAGAAGAGTCAAGGCCCTTCTCATCCATTGCACTGACTCTTTCCAGGAGCATTGTAGGAACTCTCCATGGTACTCCATGGAATGTCGTCCTTTAAATAGGTCCTTTGCCATATAGGACCATGGACAGCTCCAGTAAAGTTGAACTTCGTGACAGTGACTGCTGGTTCAGCTGCAGTCATGGACATTAATTCAGTTGCAAGCTGAACTTTAATTCAAGCAGGAACTGAATTCAGCAGACTGATGCCTTCTGAATCAGGGATATATTTTGTACAGGAAAGGTTATACAAATGTGCCCAACTCACACATCCTGGACGCATATGTGAACCAGAACATCCTTGTGCTTCAAGTCTCACTTTTCAGAATTTTTCAATGTGATTCACAGGTCAAAATGCACACAAAAATAATGTAATTAAAGGAAAGTGTGCAAAAACCTATGGACAAAAAGTGCAATATTAAGTAAACCTGACTGCACAAAGTGTGTGTACAGAAAATGTGGATATAAATCAGTGTATATTAGAAGAAATGTGCAAGAAAATGCATTTTTCTGGGGATGGGGCTTAGAATCAGTCTGAATGTGTTAACTGATATGAAACAGGCCAAAAAAGAATTACAACCAGGAAAGAAGAAAGTAAGCAAAACTGAAATTGATAAGATTCTCACCCATCTCTAATATCGAACACTTCCAATTTCATCTTTGCCCCTAAGTATCTGCTCACACTGGTGATCTGCTTGAGCGTGTAATGTAGTCCTGGATGGGTGCATGCCATGATTCCTTCTGGAAACACGATGTAGATTTGTATGCAGAATTCAGCAAATAAACCACATGAACTTTCCCTTGGATAAAATCCTCTTGACCAGTTGATGGGTTTGAACTTTTTGCTTTGGATCCATATTCTTTGCAACTACTTTGTTTTAGAAAAGCACCCCATGTGGCTATAAGTATAATGATTGTTTTCCATATTTCTTTATTTGGATATGGGATAAATGAAGGACTATGGAAAACTGATATGGTCTAGAGATCTTTACAATTGATATAGCCCCTTATATTTATTGGTTGTGGCCAACACTGCATTTTGCACTGCTGAGGCTAGTTCAGCAATTGTCCTTGTTCCCGGAGATGTTGGATCTCACCACAGTGGCACATGGCTTCATTGCATCTCATTTGGATTACTCTAATGTACTCTGCATGGTACTGCAGTATTTGGAAACTTCAGCAGGGCCAGGAGGCTGCAGCCAGGTTACTGAGCAGATCATGTTACAGAGAGCATGTGATTCCTTTGTTCTGGCCACTGGCCTATTTCCAGGCACCATTCAAAGTGCAGGTTATGACCTATAAAGCCTTACAAACTTGGAACCAGGCTATCTGAAAGAACACCTTCTCCCTTGCAAGCCTCCCCAAAGTTTATAGTCTTGCAAGGAGGCTCTTCATGCAACGGAAGGTTTTTCCCCAAGCTCTGAAACTCCCTGCCAAGGAAGGCTAGGCTGGTTCCCTGTTTATTTGCTTTCCACTGGCAGGCAATGATATTTTTATTCAGACCGAGCTTTGACGGTGAACTTATTTCCTGTTGAAGATATTTTTAACCAGTTAAGTGCTGCCTATTTCTTTTTTATTGCTGTGCTTTTTATTAATTTGCTTTTTACATTTTAAATGAGTTTTTAATCTATAATTTTACTACTGTTGGCTGTCTTGCACAGAAGTTATGGTGAAAAGATAGAGCATAGTTACAATAATAAATCTTTTGAAGTAAATCCATAGAGATTTCTCAGCTGTTGTGGAGGTGATGGGTGATGTGGATCATCCAATCTGGCATTACCACATTGACATCAGCACCTTAGGCAGAGTTTGGACAATGTAACTCCAAAACACACAGACAGACAGAATGAGAGACAGACAGACAGAGATGAACTACTGACTCCTTTCAACACTCCAGGAATGTAGATGTAAACAGTAAAAACTAGAAGAGACTTACAGAATTCTCCGGGTAGGCAGAACCATCAGGGAGAATGCCAACATCTTTGCATGAAAGATGCTTGATGTATAACATGTTGTTGTTGTTGTTCAGTTGCAAAGTTGTGTGTGACCCTCTGTGACCCAATGGACAATAGCATGGCAGGCTCTCCTGTCCTTCACCATCCCTTGGAGTCCACCCAACCCCCTGCTTCATAATGGGGAAGCTTGGCCTTTATACCACATTTATTGAGATTTTAAAAAGACAGGTGCTTTATTCTCAAGCCAGGACATCCACCACTGTTACAAACATGTCAGTATTGTTAGACAGGGTAGTACTGATGAGAAATACAAAGGAGGGTTGCTACTAATTTTGAATGAGTCAACGTTTTGGCTGAAAGTTCAGGCTGTGTGTTTTTTAACTGTGTTTGTATATATGAGAGCAGCCATATTGACATAATATGCTTAAGACATCTGCGAGGTATTTGATTTAGCACTTTGAGAGCAGAGGAGGACCCTGGCACTATATAAAAATCAATATGAATACAAGTCAGATGAATTAGACATTGGGTAACGAGTAAATTCCCAAAAGTAATTGTTAACAGGAAAATTATCATTAAATGGAAGTGTTGCGCAAACATCAATTCTTGACCCAGCACTATTCAATATCTTTGCCAACCATCTGGAAGAAAATAGAAAATCATTGCAGATAAGCACAAGGACTGGTGGGGTGGCAAAGAATGACAACTATGTTTTACAAATTGACATGACTTATGAACATAAGAAGAACCATACTGGATCACACCAAAGATGTGTCGAGTTGAAGATTCTGTTCGCACCATAGCCGACCAAATGCCTAGGGAAACCAACACACAACAGCACACAACACAACTGGTGGACATAGGTATGATGCTTCTGATACTGGAAGTAGCACACATGATCCAGACAACATTGTCTTCCCCTGGAAGCGCTTCTGTGTTTTCCCAACACTCCTTACATCTTTTTCCCCCTTAGCATAAAACAAAGGCAAAAGGCAGCTGGGGCAGAATACTGAACCTTCTTCATTTCTGGAAAAGCCCTTGGGGGCAACACACCAGTGGTGGTTGGGTCCAAAGGTCAAAGGAGTCTGGACCAAAGGTGGGACCAAAAGTGCCAGCGTGTTTACAGGAGAGAAGCACTTGAGCTTTTGCGAGCAGGAGTAAAACTGCAGGAGTCACCATATGATTGGGAGTGGGGGGGGTGTGGAAGGGCTGGGGAAGGGGCATGGCTATTTAGGGAATGGCAGGAGGCTAAATTGGGACCAAGACAGACTAGATTTGGCCAGCGGTCTTGAGGTTTAACACCCCTGCATTAAGGAATAGCTGTACAATGCTATCATTTAGATAGTTAAGGATAGGACCCTTCTACCAAGAAGCAATTCATCTGAACATTCACATATATGTGAATATGCACACAAGCATCTACAGGTTTATGTTAATTAGGATTAGCAATGTAAATACCTAGACTTATTATACCGTTCTTGCCTAATTTCTCCACACCTTGAGTGTGTGAGGCCTCTGGGGATAGGCCACAGTTCACGCGGAAAGTGTTACACCTAAGCTGAATTTGCCACTTCCAGTGCACTGTTTTGATCTGAACTGGTTCATCTGGATTGGCCTGAGCAGTGCTTGGTGTCACTTGCCACTCTGCGGTGGCAGCTAGAGAGTTCTGGGAATTTTATTTTGATTCATTTTGGGCCCAGATTTGCCTCATTTGTACCACTGAATGTGAATGCATTTTTTGAGAATGCTTGCA